ATTTCTAGTTTCATAATAATCCCACAAGTTTCCCAATCCATTACTATGGCAAGAAGTTACATACACAGGACACGAAACATGGGTGCCGCCTATTTAATGCTCAAATTTACCGCTCTTCTGGCCGTTTTCACTTCCTTTTCAGTCTCTCTAATTCTTCATTCTTCTGGACACAAGCTAATCCAGTAAAGAGTTCTTACACCCACCATCTGTATTCAACTTTTAATCTTCTTGGACAAAGACTGTCCACTAGAAATTGGTGGCTCCTGTAGCTTGTTACCTTTGACCTGTATCCATTCTGTGTACAAAATAAAACCAAGTTTCTCTTGATAAGATGATAGTGTTATTGATGTTGAGATGTTCTCAGCTATATGTTGCTACTCTTAAATGCTCATTACTGCAATGCTGGAGAATTTCATTACCTCATTTTCTTCAAATGTTCAGCTTAGAGTGGCATAATAGGAGTCTATAGGCAATTCAAGAATCTGGGTGTTATTTATTTTCATCATTTTATGTTGGAGTGATGGTTTGGGTGTGAAAAATGGGTCTTTGGTGCTATGGGTGGAGAGGTGTATGAGGATTGGGTTATCCCATCCCAGTAGATGAGTGGAAAGTTCAATTCTTTGTATCCACATGATTGTGAGAGTAGGTTTCTTGGTTGCTGCTTCAATTGCAGCCTATGGAGTTAGGCAGCTTAGTGTCAAACCCCAAAGGCCACCCAAGCCTTCAGGTATTTTGTGTGTAATCTATCTTTGCATTGGTACCAGGTTTTTTGGGTTTTTGTCAAATTGCTTATGTTTCTTATTGAATTACACAGGAAATACTGAAGAACATACTAGGAATGAAGAGGAAGACAAAGAGCAGATTACCTATTCTAAGAATGGCCTCAAAGAGGTAATTCAAGTACCTTTAAAATCTCTATATTTATCAGATTATTTACGAATTATTACGAAATTGTCAGCGCAAATTTTTGAATTAAGAATACACTACTGTTCTTTTAACAACAGTAGCTAAATGTCAGTCTCCTATGTTCTATTTTGTACTAGTGAAACATAGTTTGTTGTTGGATTTCTAGCTATGTTGTTAATAATCTTAGTTGTGTTATCATTTCCATGTTATGTTTATGTACTATTGAGGGATTTTGTGCACCTTGTGATTATGCAGGGTGAGGTGGAAGAGGAGAAAGAAGAAGTTAAATTAATAAATGGGATTATAAATCCCACGTTGAGGAAATCGTTGGATATGGAAGATGACCTCTTTCCTGAATTTGAACATCTTTTATCAGGCGAGATAGAGTTTCCGTTGCCCAGTGGTATGTATGATGCAGAGAAGGAGAGAGCATATGAAAATGAGATGGCTAATAATGCAAGTGAGCTGGAAAGATTAAGAAATCTTGTGAAAGAGCTCGAGGAGAGGGAAGTGAAGCTCGAAGGGGAGCTGTTGGAGTATTATGGGCTGAAAGAGCAAGAATCAGATATTGTTGAGCTACAAAAGCAACTTAAGATTAAGGCAGTGGAGATCGATATGCTTAATATTACCGTAAATACCTTGCAAGCTGAGAAGAAGAGGCTTCAAGAGGAAGTTTCTAAGACTGTGGATGCACGAAAGGAGTTAGAGGTGGCGAGGAACAAAATCAAGGAGATGCAGAGGCAGGTTCAACTTGAAGCGAGCCAGACGAAAGGGCAGTTATTGTTGCTCAAACAGCAAGTTAGCGGGCTTCATGCAAAGGAACAGGAAGCCTTCAAACGGGATGCTGAGGTAGAGAAGAAGCTTAAACTTTTAAAGGAGTTAGAGGTGGAGGTTATGGAGCTTAAGAGGAAGAACAAAGAGCTTCAGATTGAGAAGCGGGAATTGGTCATGAAACTCGATGCAGCTCAAGCCAAAGTAACATCCCTTTCTAATATGACAGAGGTAATTCAGCTCTGTTGAGCATATAACCATTAATGTGCAATCCAACTATCAGCTTAGGCTTTTAGTTGAGATGGAGCACATACTTCAATTTGGTATCAGAGCCATGTAAAAGGTCATGGGTATTAGTTAAGCTAGTTTTACTAACTCGTTTTGAATTTGTTGTATGGTGGTGCAGAGTGAAGTGGTTGCGAATGTGAGGGAAGAGGTTACAGCTTTGAGGCATACAAACGAGGATCTTCTAAAGCAAGTAGAAGGACTGCAGATGAATAGATTCAGTGAAGTCGAGGAGCTAGTGTATCTTCGTTGGGTGAATGCATGCTTAAGATTTGAACTCCGGAACTATCAAGCGCCTACAGGCAAAGTAACAGCTCGAGACCTGAGTAAAAGTTTGAGCCCGAGATCCCAGGAGAAGGCTAAACAGCTGATGTTAGAATATGCAGGTTCAGAGCGTGGTCAAGGGGACACTGATCTTGAAAGCAACTTTTCACACCCATCTTCTCCAGGAAGCGAAGATTTTGATAATACCTCTATTGATAGTTCTACTAGTAGATATAGTAGCCTCAGTAAAAAGCCTGGCTTACTTCAGAAGTTGAAGAAATGGGGGGGGAGAAGCAAAGATGATTCAGTTTTTACTTCGCCATCAAGGTCTTTTGGAGGATCACCGAGCAGGATGAGCATGAGTCATAGTAGGCCTCGGGGTCCTCTGGAAGCCTTGATGCTCAGGAATGCGGGTGAAAGTGTAGCCATCACTAGCTTTGGGACAGCAGAACAGGAATTTCTTAATTCTCCCGAAACACCAAAGCTCTCCCAGGCTAGTAGAGTACATGATATGTCCCCCGATTCACTGAATACAGTTGCATCGTCTTTTCATTTAATGTCTAAGTCAGTCGAAGGGGTCATGGAGGAAAAGTATCCTGCATATAAAGACCGGCATAAGTTGGCAGTGGAGAGGGAGAAGCAATTAAAAGAAAAGGCTGAACGAGCAAGAGCTGCAAAATTTGGTGACACCTCGAGCTTTAAAGTGGACAGATCTATCACCTTGCCCCCAAAACTTACACAGATAAAGGAGAAGTCAGTTGTCTCTGGCGAATCAACCGAGCAGTCTAGTGATCCTAAAGCAGATTCTCAATCAATAAGCAAGATGCAATTAGCCCATATCGAGAAGCGAGCTCCTAGAGTTGCTCGTCCACCTCCTAAACCATCATCAGCTAGTGCTCCGACTACTACTACTGGTACAAATGCTTCAGGTGGGGCTCCACCTCCACCGCCTCCTCCACCGGGTGCTCCTCCTCCACCACCACCACCAGGTGGACCGCCTAGGCCACCTCCTCCACCAGGGAGCCTAGCAAAAGCAGGTGGAGGAGATAAAGTCCATCGAGCCCCAGAATTAGTTGAGTTCTACCAAACATTGATGAAACGGGAGTCAAAGAAGGATTCATCGTCGCCTTTGATTTCTTCCACATCGAACACATCAGATGCCAGAAGCAACATGATTGGGGAGATAGCAAACAAATCCTCATTCCTTTTAGCTGTATGTAGAATTTTCCATTCGATTCTTTACCAAATATATGTGCTTTATTTATCCAACTCTAAGCAAGAAAACGATTGTATTGATCAGGTGAAAGCTGATGTTGAAACTCAAGGCGATTTCGTCCAGTCACTGGCATCTGAAATCCGTGCAGCTTCCTTCTCCAACATAGACGATTTGGTGGCATTTGTGAACTGGCTAGATGAAGAGCTCTCCTTCTTGGTATATCCTTTTGAGCTTTAGCAGCTTTGCTGATCATATAACTGCATTTTAACTTGTAAAGTAATTGGCATTTATTTTGATCTTTTTGCAAGGTTGATGAACGAGCTGTTCTCAAGCATTTCGATTGGCCAGAAGGGAAAGCAGATGCATTGCGAGAGGCTGCATTCGAGTACCAGGACCTAATGAAACTAGAGAAGCAAGTTTCCTTGTTTGTTGATGATCCCAATCTTTCTTGTGAAGCTGCATTGAAGAAGATGTACAAGCTACTTGAGAAGTAAGTGACCTGTGCATATTCATATCTGACATCTTAGTATAGACAACATCCCAATCTTTCACTGTTTATGGGCTGAAAACGCGGGAACACAAGGTTTTTTTTTTTTTTTTTTTTTTTAATAGATATATTAGGTTTCATAGCTTACGCTAGACTACTCGAATACTGAGTTGATTCTGAACTTAAGAATAAATTATGCTTTATTTAGCGGATAGTAAACACTTTCTCCTTTTTGGTTCAAACTTTCAGGGTGGAACAGAGTGTTTATGCACTTTTGCGTACAAGGGACATGGCTATATCACGATATAGAGAATTTGGCATCCCTACAGATTGGTTACTAGATTCTGGCGTGGTTGGAAAGGTATGCATTTGAAACTATTTGTCACTCGAATGTCTGCAATAAACAACGTTCTTCGTTAGTTATACCATGAACACATTGTTTTCCTTCAAGTAACTTGCTATGGCCAAATTATGTTTCCGTTTTCCTGGCCTGTGAGCCATTCTCTTTCATCCATATTGCATTTAACAGGAGCACCAGTATTGAACTTTAGATCTCTTGGACACTTCTTTGCAGCAAGTGGATAAAAAAAAAAAAAAAAAAGACATTTTTATGATCCTGAAATGATGAATGGACATTTTCTGTTATGCAGATTAAGCTCTCGTCTGTCCAACTGGCTCGCAAGTACATGAAACGTGTAGCAATAGAGCTCGATGCATTGAGCGGGCCTGAGAAGGAACCAAACAGAGAATTCTTAGTTCTACAAGGTGTTCGTTTTGCTTTCCGTGTTCATCAGGTACAGTCTTGACTTCAAGAATGTCGCTTTCTTCTTTCACACGAAAACGAATCAATCAGGCCTTGTTAATACTTAATAAACAGACTACTTATTAGCTAGAGGTTTATGTTTTCAGTTTGCCGGAGGGTTTGATGCTGAGAGCATGAAGGCGTTTGAAGAACTGAGGAGTCGTGTGGCGACACAAACAGGAGAAGTAAAGCAAGAAGAATGACTTTGGATTTCTCCTGCTTGCTTGCTTGCTATTAAGTTTATATTTCATCATTTTGTTACTTGAGTATAGGAAACAACATTCATATTATACCTTCAGCTTACCAGAAATACAGAGATGCATAGATTACTTGAAGAAAAAGAAAATTCATGAATTTCTGAACAGTTTTGGTACATGAAAGGGCACTTGAATGAAGCAAGGAAAGAAGAGAACCTTAGAAAGTCAAAGGTGAAAAGCTCTTATCGACTTTTTCCCTTAATCCAGCAGCATCATTTGGTGATGCAAAAGCGAGTGCACCAGAGACCTGGGCGCCTGCTTGGATAACACAGCCCCAGTAGCGTAATGCAGAAGACAAAGATGCGGAACTTTTGGGGTTCACCACAACGTAGCAGCCAAATTTATCGGGTTCTGCAATGATAGAAGATCCTCTATGCATCATACACAACCCAGGGACACCTTCAAGAAAATTGCATTACTGATTGCAAAGAAGAAAATGGGAACCGAAATACCTCTAATGTTTGATCTAGAAAGTCCCATATCTCGGAACTCATTTTCCCATTCAGATTGGAATTTCTGCCGCTTACCGTGCCTTTGGTTGAAGGGAATTTAAATTTCATTCCCACTTAATTTCCACCAAATTTCAAAGGCCACAAAATTATCTTGTTTGGTTAAAAGGAATTGCAATTCCATGAAATTGCAATTCTCCCATTTTCATGGAATTAAAATCTCATGTCCCCTTGAAATTTTAGAAAGAAAAAAAGATAGTGATGAGACAAGATTATCCCTTTCTTTTTTTAACCTAAAATTAATGTCTAACAACAACCATGAACATTTTTGACTTTATACTACTTATTCCCTTTTATATTCCCATGTATACCAAACATTGGAATTGAAATTCCCAGTAAGTCTATTCCTGTAAACCAAACACTGGAATTTAAATTCCCACTTTATTTTCAGTAATTCATCTCCCATAGAATTGTAATTCATTTCCCACATAATTCTCCCTCTCCAACAAAACGCCTTGTTAAACTCATAGCTTCATCGACATATTAGTTAACAAACATATATTCGTATTAGTAGCATGTTAGTACTCAGTGCTTATGTTTATATATGAACTAGTATTTTTATACGTGATGCGCAAAAAATAGGTGCCCAATATTAATACATTATATTAAAATTTTAAATTTATTTAGATTTTAGATATTTAAATTATTCTAAATAATAATGATAATAATAATAATAATAATAATAATAATAATAATAATGTACATCATTTTTATAAATTTGATATTTATATTTATGTAATAATTAACATATAACTCAAATATTTAATGTGAATATATTATTATTAATGAAGAAGATAAATATATGGTGGATGCATGTGCACGGTAACAATAGTGGAAAAGATAACGGAAGTTATAACGGTAGGGGTATGTTTGTCCAAAATATTTTAATGTACAATCTTTATAGCATAATGTACAAAAAAACTTAACGAAAAAAACGGACATAAATTAGGGGTATAACTTTCATTCACACTTATTATGTTTTTAGATTTAGATTTAGGGTGTGTTTGGAAACCCGGAAAATGATTTCTTTTCCGGGTTTCCTGTGTTTGGCAAGAAGGAAAATGCTCAAAGTCAATGGAAAATAGAATTTGGTCCATGGAAAATAGACCCATTTTTAAGGAAAACAACTTCCCCTTAAAAAAAGGGGAAGTCATTTTCCGGATATTGACTTCTTCATTTCTTCACGTCAAAAACATTGACTTTCTTCATCTTCATTGGCATCTTCATCCTCTAGCTTTTAGGCTCACTAGTTTCCGACAGGTTTCCGCCGGAAACCAGAGGTTAAAAAAAAAAACATCTGGTTTTCGCCCAGATCTTGGTTTCCGGCGCGGAAACCATATGGTTTCTGTGCGGAAGTCATGGTTTCCGCCGGAAACCATGACTTCCGCACAGGAAACCATCTGGTTTCCAGCGTCGAAACCAGACATGGTTCAATTAATATTTTTTATTTTTTTAATAAATAATGTTATTTGATTTTAAAAATAAATATTATTATTTAGAATATTATTGTAAATTTTATATATTTTAAACAAAATAATTAATTATATAAAATGTTTAATTATACAATTCTACATCATTTTCAGAAAATGAGCCAAACACCAAAAGACAGTTTTCCATTTTGCAGCCAAACACAGGAAAGGAAAATAACTTTTGAAAAATGACTCATTTTCCAGAAGTCATTTTCCTGCTTTCCAAACGGACCCTTAGATTAGATAATATGATAGCATCAAATATCCAAGATCAACTTTCAGCTAAACAACACTCAACACAAAATGTTATCCGAGTTTAGGATTAGTCTGGCCTGAGCTGAAACCTAATGTATAAAAAAACAAATCACACAACTCTCTTCCTAGTTCAGGTGTACCTACGATTAGGACTGTTCCTCAATCACACACCTCACCCCAGCACAACACTCCTCAGAAGATTACTGTTAGAGCCGTCAAAACGGGCTTAGCCCGCCGGGTCGGCCCGCCCCGCCCCTACTTAGGTAGGGGGCTGGTTTTGAAAATAGAGGACCGTTTAGGAGCGGGCTTTTTTGGCCCGCCCCGCTTAGGCCCGCGGGCTACCCGCCATTATTTTATTTTATTTTATATAAAATATTTTTATATAAAATATGTACTTTAAAATTATTTTTATGTGTAATATTTTTGGACTTTGTAGTTGTGACTAGTTTGATGTTTGATAAACTATGAACTTTGAACTTTATGTAATATATTTAATGTTTGATTATTATGTTTTATGTGAGTTATGACTTATGTATCAATTTATTTTAATTAGTTAGATGTTTGATAAACAATTTTTTTAAAAAAAAGGGGTTTTGGCGGGGGCCCGCCTAGCCCGCAGGCCACTGGCGGGGCGGTCTGGGCCTCTCAAACCCAGGACCGTTTAGGAGCGGGCTTTTTTAGCCCGTCCCGTTTAGGCCGGCGGCCCACCGGACTTTTGCCCGCCCCGCCCTGCCAGCCCGTATTGACAACACTAATTACTGTTATAAAGCTCCCAACTTTATTTATTTTATATATTAAAGAAAATGAATTTTCTCATCATTCATCCTTGCAAAGAAAATGGAAACTCATTAACCATACAATTATCATAAAGAAATCGAAAATTCAAGCTAAAATGACCGGGAGCTTAACTAATTTTACTCCACATTCCACAGTCATCATTAGTACTAAGAAAATTGAAAATCATTTGGTAGGAGACGATAGAGGATTGAATATGTACATACCTGAGCATCGAAAACAGCAGAGGTGGTTTTACCAGAACCGCCTTTACCCAAGAAAGTGACCAATCTGGGTGGCTTATCAGCGACAGCTGCCGTGGCCAAAACCCCTTTCTTCCTCCTTGAAGGATTCAGTAATGGAGGGGGAAATCGTGTTTTGGGATTGAAGATGAAGGTAAAAAAGGTGTTAGGAGGAGTTGGGGATTTGAAGAAGAAGAAGCCATAGATTTGAAGTCTCCGAATCGAATGTGACTATGAATTGGTTCCTATTATTCTTTTCCTTTTTTTTTTTTTCATAAAAATTTGATCTTGAATGTTTGGCAACTCTGTTATCAAACTCCTTTTGCCTAATTTTATGGAGTGAAGGAATCCAACCACAATCGTTATGCCATGGAACCGTGTTCACCATGGATAGTGAACACGGTTCCATACGACGACGTTTTATTAGTGTGGGAGATAACGGTGCCACTTACCAATCACATTTAAAAAAAAAAAAAAATTAAACGCGCGACTATAGCTTTCCATTTTTCCACTCCCGGTTTCACTTCTTCTTCACGCAACCTTCTTCCACCATTCTCTCTGCTCTCTACTTCTACTCTCTGCTCTCTACTCTCTGCATCTTCGCAATCGCGATTTCCTCCGATCATTCTCGAAGTCTCTGTTCAACACTCGTTCTCTCTACTCTCAAACACCATTTCCCTATTTTCGCATTCCTCAAACAACACTTCGCGTCCTCCGTCGTTATCAAAAGAGACAGTCTCTCCATCGCTCATTCTCAACAGTTGCTTTACTTATCTTACATGTATTATGTACCTGATGTGTTTATAATTTAGGGTTTTTGTATTCTGTACAGATTTTGAAATTTATAAATGGGGTTTTGAATGTAGTGTTATGAACTTATGAATGTATATCTGTAACATTGTGTATATGTAGATTAAGCATTATGAATATGGAACTCTGTGATTAATTTTTAGTTTGTGAATATATGGTTTTAAGATTATGTATGTATAGTTATAACATTATGAAATTGATTCTTAGATTGTTTTTACTGCTGTTTATTCACTATCTGTGCAGCTTTGAATGTCCATAATGTCGCAACTATTATTGATACTCTGTTTCTCTTATGAATTTTCTGTTATGCAATTATGTATTTTCTGTGTGAGATTATGAATTTTCTCATAAAAGATTATGTATTTTCTATTGTGTTTATGAAATTACACTTTTGAGATTATGAACTTTCTAATATGGGATTATATATTTTCTGTGTGAGATTATGAATTTTCTCATATGAGATTATGAATTTTCTATTGTGAGTTTATGAAATTACAGTTTTGAGATTATGAATTTTCTGTTATGCAATTATGTATTTTCTGTGTGAGATTATGAATTTTCTCATATAAGATTATGTATTTTCTATTGTGTGTTTATGAAATTACAGTTTTGAGATTATGAACTTTCTGATATGGGATTATGTATTTTCTGTGTGAGATTATGAATTTTCTCATATGAGATTATGGATTTTCTATTGTGAGTTTATGAAATTACAGTTTTGAGATTATGAATTCTCTGTTATGCAATTATATATTTTCTGTGTGAGATTATGAATTTTATGTTATGATATTATGAATTATGTGTGACTGTTATTGATGAACAATATATTCTTTTATATAGAGTATGGCTGGATTTATTCGGCATTCCCCATCCCGCCTCTACTGAAATAAAGAATATATTTCCATCAAACTAATGTCAGTTTTGTGCTATATTATATGCTGTATATGAATTAATTGCTTTCTAATGTTTTTAATAACAGCAATGGACTCTGCTCCACGCAGAAGAACACGTGCACAAACAAGGCCAATCTTGAGCTCTCAAGCTGCGGAGGCATCACAACCCTCACAACCCTCACAACCACCGCGTGAGGAACAGAACACTGTGGACAAATCTAAAACAAAAACCAAGAGACAAAAATCAACACGCACCATACTGGATTCGCAATCTGCTGATCTATCCCATTAGCAGCTTGAGGAGCTGCTCCATAATGAAGTAATAAGAGAGAAATAAATGATAGACAAAAGGGAAAAGCAGCCATTGTCGTAGATAATGATGCGAAGGAAGGTGAACAGGAAGATAATGATGCGGAAGGGATTGCTACTCCCTACTTCAGCACGCGAATGGGACCAAAGACCATGTTCAAGCTTGTACAGAAACTACTGCCAGAACAAAAACAAGCTGTGCATGATATTGGATTTGGATCCCTGTTGAATCTTCAGTTGTGCATGAATG